AAACGTGACTACTGGAAATGTAGCAGATGTAAAGTGTGCGTTAATGTACATTTTGCATTATGAACTTTAAACACACTGATGTGTCTCCAGTTTCTGCTACTGCGGTGTCGTCCGGCACTGCAAAAACACTCAAATACCTCAACAACTACTTGATGGAATAACATCAAAAAATGTTGGAAAATATTTGCAAAACCAGGAGAATGAACTGGAACAAGACACTGACAGGCGTGTGTGTGTGTTTGAAATTTGAAGCTTCGAGTGAAATGTCTTACACGAACCTCTTTTACCATAGAGACATCCCACAACACAATATTATCACAATACTTCACCCACGATGTGACGTTACAGCGACATTTTGTGATATGCTGAGTATTGTGCTAACATATATTGTGATTTATTGCTTTTTTTTCCAACAGCAAATTATGTCCTCGAGATTAAACTTTGTCAGTATGTGTTTGATCTAATAAAAGAAAATTATCTCACTGCAGTTTTATTTTTTTGCTAAAAAATGAGATTGTCAAGCACATTTACAGTTCTATAGGAATATCACTAAAAACAACGAGCTGACAGCCGGTGCTCGTATATATGTCGGGATGTATGTATGCATGTGTGGAAGAGCATGTCCTCTTTTAGGATTTTCTGATTTGGATGTTTGTCAGCGAACATTTTCTCAGGGTGGTGGATGAGATGAGCCCTTTTGTTTGTAACATTCCCAGATATTATTATTTTAATGTATTTAGTAAAGTATCCATATATATGGCGTCTGTATCAATAGATGCATGGCCCAATCCTGGTCTTTGTCTCCTTAATGATACCTCTGAAATCTCCTTGAAACAAATACAATGCAAGACTAAGACGTAAGACTATTACGAAGCAATGGTTCAGTCCTGACATTTGTATGGAATCATTCTGGAGACGATGTCTTATCCGTGTTATTGGTTTTGAACATACCGCAGCAAAATTAAATAAAGCTCGACCCACGACTGTTGAAGCTCGGGAAATCTTCTCATCCAGAGTTATCTCCTGGAAGAGGCAATCATTGGTTTTAACTTCGTGTTTTTGTGTTTTTTCTTTGCTGTCCCTATGCTTTGTGACCAATGTTTGCTTTGCTACTGCAGTTTACAGTTGTGCTGTATACGTCTGTACCCCCCCAACCCCGTTTTAAATCAATAAAATGTTGATCACAAAAAAATAGATGCATGGCGATATTTTATCGATATCCTTGAATCGATAAAATATCACCAAGCAAAATACAATATTTTCCCCCAACGCTATTACAGCGGAGCGATTTCGACATGATATATTAGATATACACAGCTGTTACTAATCACACTAATTGAGGCTCTGTACTAAACAAAACAGAACCTCCTGCAATGAGGAACACCTGTGTTTATTTATATTTCATGCAAAATGGCTGAAAACACAATTCCCAATCTACAG